TCATTGCCAGAATTTCTTGTGAAGCAAGTGACTGGTTTGGGCAGCTGACTTTGGGACACTGATCCTTTGTATAGCCATGGCAGTCAGAACAGCTGTGAATAGGTTAATGCAAAGCCCTGTCCCAACTCCCCCCTGCATTGCATGGGGCGTTTGGGTGAGAAATGGCTCTGTCTAGCCCTGACTCGTTAAGGGTTGTCTGTCGCCAATATTGACCCAGGCCTGGATCTGTTGCTCAGCCACGGTCTCAGAGGCTCTTGCAAGGTATTTGCTCAGTTGGAGCTAGGCAGAGCAATTGCAAACCCAGATGGACCAAACCCTGTGTGTGTGTGTGTGTGTGTGTGTGTGTGTGTTTGTTCTTTCTCTCCATTAAGACCTGCAGTGGGTTTAGAAGCACAGGGTCCCAGAGAGCCAAAGGCCACGGCCTAGAAGAGACCTAAAGGTGCTAACCCAACCCTTATGCCGCTGCACAAGGGCTTGTAGAAAAGCTCAGGGGCCCCAACCTGCTATCAGCTCAGCGGCAGCCCATTATGGGGCCTGGCCCCTTACTCTGGGGTGAGTGAGCAGGAGAGCAGGCCCAGAGGGCAAAGGAAGAGACTTCCCCCAAAGCGTCAATTGGACCGGGACCATTCTGCTCGGACTCAACCCTGAGGAGCCCTGGGGCGAAGGGGATCTGCTCATCCCATCCCCATCCTGCCAAGCCCTTTGGTGCTAGCAGGACCCACAGACCGTAACCCAGCAGGACAGGGCTATTGGGCCAGTAGGAGCCAGCACTGAAAAGGGCCCCATTGGTTTTTGACGGCCCTTTGGCTCATCGGGGTGTCATGTGACTTGACTAGAGGCCCCGGTGCCCTGACGAGAGGGCTAGAGGGTGTAGGAGAGTTAGAATCATAGAATATTAGGGTTGGAAGAGACCTCAGGAGGTCATCTAGTCCAATCCCCTGCTCAGAGCAGGACCACCCCAACTAAATCATCCCAGCCAGGGCTTTGTCAAGCTGGGCCTTAAAAACCTCTAAGGATGGAGATTCTACCACCTCCCTAGGTAACCCACAGCAAGGGGGGATGGTGAATGTGAGGGGTGCACCGTGTGTAGGGGCACACAGTGTGGGGGAAGAGGGTGGGTGTAAAGCACACAGAGTGGAGGGAAGGAGTCTGTGTGGGGTGCACAGTGGGGAGGAGGAGTGGGTGTGGGATGGAGCGAGGCTCTGTGTGGGGTGCACAGTGTGTGGGAGGGGGTGGGTGGGAAGCGTGGGGGTGGGGTGGAATGTGTGGGGGAAGGTCCCTGTGGTTTGCAGGGCAATGGTTCTTTCAGGGACACATGGGGTGTGTCCACACTGCAGCAGGGGGAGCTTCCCGGCCTGGGCAGACAGACTCTTGCTGGCTGGGCCTGAGCCAGTGCACCAAAAATAGCCATGTGGCTCTGGTGCAGACCTGGGCTAGCTACCTGAGCTCAGACCCAGGGCACAGGGTGGGCTTCAGAGCCCAAGCAGCCGCTTGAGCCACAAAGTCCAAGCTGCTATTTTTAGCTGCTAGCTTGAGCCGAGCTAGCACAAGCCTCTGTAACTGGGCTCACTCCCCCTGCAGTGTAGACATGGCTACGGTGCCCTGTGCCTGCCTCCCTTCCTGGATTCCCCTCTGGCTGAAGCGTGTGAAGCTGGGAGCAGGTCTGGCTCTAGCAGCTGTCCCTGCGTTCTCACGAATACCCTTCCTTTTCCCACCACTGCTTGCCCTGTGAGTGGGTGCACCTACGGGTGATGAGGTCCCACCCTGGGGAGACAGTGGCCCCCTTTGCCCCACCCCCCACTGGAGGCGACTTATTTATTAAGCCTTCCAGCTGAGGTTGGTGTCACTAAGGGTATGTCTATGCTGCAATTAGACCTGTGCGGCTGGTGCGTGCCAGCTGACTCGGGCTGGGGGCTGTTTCATTGCAGTATAGCCATTTGGGCTCAGGCTGCAGCCCGGGTTCTGGGACCCTCCCACCTCACAGGGTCCCAGCAGCCTATGAGCCTGAGTCAGCTGGTATGGGCCAGCCCCGGGTGTCTAGTTGCAGTGTAGACATGTCCCAGAATCCCCAAATTGGGGGGGGGGGGGCATTCTGTACACAGGGGCTGCCAGCTCGCTGTGGGTGCAAACTGATTCCAGGACTGCTGCAGTTCCAAGCTTTCAGCTGCCCTGAATCAGCATGTAGATACAGTTCAGCACAAACGAATAACAGCAGCAAGCCCCTCTCCAGAAGCAGCTCCCTGCCTAGGGCATTGCTACAGCAAACGCCTCTCCTAGCCCCACGCTGGGGTCACAGCTGGGTCACTGGGGTGCCTGACACTTCACAGCCATGACACTCAGGGAAGGGCAGATTTCATAATGATGCTTGTCCTGCCAAGAGATCTCAGCCAGCTGACCATCTTCCTGCAGCACCTGCCGGTCCCAGCAACTGCCATTTGAGTGATAGCTCAGAGTAGAGCCTGACACAGCCTGAAGCCAGAGCCCTCTTATTATCCAAGACACAGGGTCTGATAGGACAGGGAGGAGGAGAGGGGCTGGTACACCCCCCCCAATCCTGGGAAGGAAAGGGCCAAGGGAACATACAGCACACTCTTCCATACACTCGGCACAATCCCCTCTTCCTTTATTACTGGTGAGTAGGGTGACCAGACAGCAAATGTGAAAAATCGGGACAGGGGTGGGAGGTAATAGGAGCCTATATAAGAAAAAGACCCAAAAATCGGGACTGTCCCTATAAAATTGGAACATCTGGTCACCCTACTGGTGAGTAGACAGGATCGAATCTCCTCCCCTAGCCATGGTAGAGATGGTCTCTGTCTTCTTCTGGGCCACTGACGGCTTCAGCATACAGTGCCACTATCTGCACAGGGCCTTCCTCTTCCAGAGCAGCATCTGGGGGGTGGTAGATGTGGTCTCGGTCTTCCTCCGGCACCGCTGCAGACTTGGCACCCAGTGGGGCTGGCGGGTCTCCAGCACTCCTGGGCGCTGCAAATGGAGGAGGCAGGGAGAGCGTTAGCTTTCTGGGCATGCTGATGATGCCAGCGGGAGAAAGAGTGTCATCCCTCAGCTTGCTTACCTCTTCCGCCTTGTGCGTCACTAGACAACAGCCTCATTCCGGGATCAATATCCACTGTTTGTTCTTCATCCTCGGGTGGCTCAATAGCTCTTATGCCCAGAATACTGGAAAAAAGAAATATTAATAATAATAGTTAGCTCTTATATAGCCCTTTCCAGCTATGCTTTACAAAGGAGGTCAGCCTCATTGTACAGCTGGGGAAACTGAGGCACTGAGAAGGGAAGTGACTTGCCCAAGGTCACCCAATGGGTCAGTGGCAGAGCTCACAATAGAAGCCAAGTCTCCTGACTCTGAGAGTTTTGTAACCCCCCCCTTCCCCTCCCCAGTTTCTGCCAGGAAATCCCAAACCACATACATGGAGTAATTAGCCTCATTAGCATTTCAAACATCTTCTTGCAGGAACATTTCACCAAAGATCCCCTTAGAAGAGGCCTGGTTCCTTCCCAAGACCTCTACACACTGGTGAGTCCCCACACACATGACCAGAACAGTGCTGCCCCATTAGGAACATGTCCCATCTCCTACCGGCCATGTGACATTCCCTCACTCTGTGACTGGACAGGAGTAAAGCTGGGTGCATTATTCATTGTGAACAATATTAGATGCACCAGAATTCACTCTGTTTTGTTTGCATAGTCACAGATTGTAGCACTAATAATTATTTGGCCTAATATGCTATTTGCTGTATCGCTTGGTTGGTAATTTTCGCGCAATTCATTCAATGCTATATTTTTATTCGCAATATGTGATTGGATACCTAAGTCACATGGCATTGTTCCTGCTCCTTGACTGGCTACTGAAACCTATTAAACAGGAGAATAAAGAGTAGCCAATAAGGAGTGTTAGGCCAAATAACTGTTAGTGCTACAATTGGTGAGTATTTCAGGATTCAGAAACATTTCCATGGAAACCCAGTGGTCATCTGAATTCTTGCAACTAAAGAACAAATAAACATGAATAGTGTTTGTGAGTAGCAGAGACTTGGGATTTGGATTCATAAATTCATGAACTAGGATTTTCATGACTCAACCAACTTAATTATAAACAGGGGAGAATTCAAAAGGCAAAATGATGACCAGAGGATTAATTTTGGGCCAGTACCAGATACACCAGCATGTTCATTCAAGCTGATTGTTCCTGTGATGCTTGTGAAGAACAAAAATGCCACAGAGAAAAATAAACAAACTCTTTTTTCCACATAATAAAATTACAAGTGTTAGCCACCTGTGAGGATGCAAACATCGTGACTGTTTGATCTGGAAGCAAATAATGAGATGAAATTCACTAGACAATCATAAATCTTAACAATGACTGATATGGAGCCAATGGCTCAGTGGACAAGGGGACTGTGTCTGTTTAGGCCTTTGGTGAATTTGTCCCAGTAGCTCTGTTGTTACATACATTCTGATTTCTGAAGGACACCCCTTTAAAGAGGCCTCTACTCCACCTCTAATTTTGTGCTTGCATCAGATGGCACGTGCAAGTAACAGGATTTAGACCTTTTCCTACCTGCTTGGCAAATACAGAGAGGGAGTGAAACCTACAGATATATATTTATTTTGGCACAGAAGCCAATTAGGAGACATATGCAAATATGCATATATGATCTAATTAGTTAATATTGTCCCAGGACTCAATACACTGCTATGCCCCTCTGAAGGGGTAAATAGTTGTGATTTATTGATATCACGTGACTGTTTTCAGCCAATCACAACCCAGGGTTTTCTGCTCTTAGTGATCACTATTAAAAAGTATGCCAAATTTTGGAAAACAAGCCTCAAACAACCCCCCCGAAATCAATATAATTCTTTTAAAATTTCCTGCAAATTTTATTGTGGTTTTTCTTGGAAAACTGTTACTGAAAAATATGTTAGTAAAAAATGTTACTGAAAAATATTTGGTTTTTCAGCGAAAAAATGGGAAATTTGATTGAAAGTGAAATTTTTGCCATGACATTTTCATTTTTGACAAAAGCCATTTTTTGGCAACATTACTTTTCAATGAAAAAGCTTTGTCATGCTCTAAATAACCCTAACTAACCCCAGATCTTCCATGGGACAATTAACGAAGAGGCGGGATACAGCCAAATGAAAGCAGTCAACCCCCCATGGCAAGTCTGGCCTCACTCATTTTTGCTTGACTGAGGAAAATCTGGGATTACCGGAGAATTCCCTCCACTACAAGAATCACTGGGTGAGGTTCTCTGATCTCTGTAATGTAGGAGGTCAGGCTAGATGATCATATTATCTCTGAATCCATGAAGAATGTGTCAAATAGATAGTAATTCAAAAAGAAAATGCAGAATTTCTTATGCATTGTAGCAGGGCATGGTCCTTCCTGACTGGGGCTTTTCCAGGCTTCACAGTTCCCAGGCCTCCACAGTTCCTCCTGCTGGGGCCTGAGCGCCTTCCTGCCTCCCTGGGTTCTGGGCACTTCTGCAGCTTGCAGAGCCGGCCATCCCTTCTCCAAAGGCCGGGTTTTTGCATCAGCAGGGGTGGGGAATTACATTCACTTCCTCAGGCAATCCACGCAACACTGTCTACCCTAAAAGTCCATTCACGTCTGGCCCATTGTTCAGTACAGTCCTCTGAAGTTCATAACATTTCCCAGTGGTCACATCCCATCAACCCCCTACAAAGAGGGGTTACATTAAATCTCGACACACAGTAAAATGTAACCTTTGCATTTAATACAATGGACCCCAAAGATGCTTAAATTTAATTAGGTAAGGTTTTTCAAGGCTATTGCAAGAAATTGCCATACTGGTCACAGTGACAATGATGATAATATTAACAATAACCATCTTACATTTGCTTCTTAATGTCCTGTTCCAAGGAACCCTCCATTTCTTTGCCTTCTTTCAGAACCTGAAATCAAAGAGCAAGTCAGCAGCAGTGAACCTTCCCCCTTCACTGGACAGCTAATGGCCTCCGGTGGGCACAGAGACAAGCCAAGTAAACCTCTCCTGCCTTCCCTGCCCTGGCCAGCAGCTTTGGGCTTCTCTGTGAAATATTCCAGTCTTAGGTGGGTCAGCAGCTGTACCCTCACCACCCCCATTGCACTGCGGGGGTGACTGATGCGGCTGTGGGACCCGTTCAAGGTTGCACATTCAGCCCGCGACAGATCCCGGAACGAAACGCACCTTTCCTCACGTCCCAGCCTGGCGTTGCACCCAGACCTGCCCTGGCATTACAGCAGTGCAGTGCCAGGACTCTCTGCCAGGGGTAGCTCAGGTGGTAGAGACAGCCGCATTCCCAGTGGGGAGCTATCCAGAGGGGCCTTGTGTGTGGAGGGGAACTGCCGGATCTCGTTGTGGGCCAGGAGGGTGGTGGACCAGGGGAACATGGAATAACTGTGACACTGGGTATGTTGGGTTATTTTATGTTAGGGAGTCAGGGCAGTGGAATATGCACCACTGTGTAAGGACCAGATTGGGTTGGGAGGAGTCCCTGCACAGCAGAGGTAACTGGGATGCCTTCCCACCCCATCTCTGCCAGTGGGCAGCGAGTGATGCCCTGTTGCAGGCCAGCAGCGTGTTTCCCTCACACCAGCAGCCCCAGGGCTCGCAGCAGAGAAACGCAGTCTTCTCACAGCTCAGCCAGTACACACTCTGCCTCTTGGAGTGGGCAGCCGGGACTCCTTCAGCTCCGATCTGGAAGGAGCTGCCGTTGCTGCATGAAGGCCGGGGCGATGCAGCCTGCAGTGACAGTCATTTCATACTTGTGCAGTACTTTCATCAGGTCAGAGCAAGGCCTTAGCAAGGTACCTGCCAACACCAAAGTCACTAGCAAGGCTCAGGCCAGGCCTCGCAGCCACTTTCACACACTCCTGCCATGGAGCAGAAGGGGGGACTCTCCAGCTGGCCTCAGTGCTGGCCTGGCGCACCAGGATATTTGTCTCGGTAGCAAAGCAAATCTGATGAACCAATTCAGCATCCTATGCTTGTCCATGGGCACAAACCCCGGGTACTTCTCCTCAAGGGCACCAGCTGCGCTGTGTGAGCGAGAGGGGCCAGGCACCAGCTGCATCTGTCCACGCTGAGGGGAATGATGAGCTGTATAAGGCAGGAGTGCCGCTAGCATTCAGACCAGCACGTGCTGGGGCAGAGCCAGGCCTCACGAGGCCCTGTGAGCAGCCTGTGACAAGCGCTGGTTTGGTATTAAGTAGAAGGGCAACTGGCACATTCCCATGCTCTCAGCCTGGCGCAGAGCCTACAGTCGCTCCACAGTGGTGGTGAATAGCCCTGCTCCCACTGCCTGCTGCTGGGGTGAGTTGAGGTGAGGAGCTAGCGCATCCCCTGCATCCTTCCTGGACTGCGGCACATGAAGCGAGAGGGTCCCAATGCATTGGCTGCACCCACCTTCTCTCTGCGCCCCTCCCCCAGACGCCCATCCCCTGTCCCCATGACTCACTATCCCAACGAGCCCTCTGAACCCCATGACCCCTCCATAGAGCTCCCTTGCTCCCTTCTCTCTGCGCCCTCCAATGAGCAGCCACCCTATCCTGCACCCCACACCTCCTTTCGCGGGGCATGGCAGCTTTGCAGGCCCCTGACTGCTCCTGCTCCAAGCGCATACTGGGCTGCAGCCCCAGAACCTCTCTCCTTCAACTCACCAGCTAGCGGGGCCTGCAGAATGCTTGCTGTGGGAAACTGGGCCCAGCAGTAGGTCCGTGGCACAGGGAACGGGGTGGAGGTGATTACTAAAAGGCCTGGAGCAGGGAGGTTCGGGTGGCACTGGGCATCACAGACCTTTGGAGGTGTATCTGAGCCAAACCTCCAGCTGTGCAGTAGTTAGCCCTCGTCCTGCCTCCCATTCTCCTGGGATGGGCACTCATTTTGGAGGGGAGGAACCTTCTGAGAGCCAAAATAGCTGGCCATTTGCAAGTCTGATTACAAACTCAACCCTGAGCCCTCCCAATGGGCAGTATCTTCCAGAGCAGGAGAAGTCATTGGGAAGAGTTTTCTTTCTCCTCCTTTCAGTAAGGAAATAAAATAGCTGGGGTACAATTTCCAAACGTGCCTAAGTGCACACATATGACTTGCTATGACACTCCGGCTCCAAAGTGCCTTTTGAAAAATGAGACTTGATGTTCCTAAGTCAGTTAGGTGCTTTTGAAAATGTTCCCCTTGATCTCATCCGCAGAGGATCCTCTCCTCCGTGGCCTCAGGGATCTGTGTCCCCTCCAGAGATTTGCATTATTTGGGGTGTCGTTGTTTCCACTGGCCAATGAGGTGACTTTCTGGTCTCTGAGCTCATTGGCAGCTGGGCTTTTGTGGGAAAAAGAAATGATGTCTCTGCTGGAGGCCTCAGGGTCCTGCCATACCCGTCCCAGGAAAGGAGCAATAGAGGAGTCTTCCAGGCAGCCTAGAGTGGCTGTAGGGGAAGCAGCCAATCAGAGCCCAGGAGGGCCATATAAAAAGGAGCTGCAGTGCAGTGCATAGGCAGTTTCTTGCTGGAGCTAGTGGAGTGCAGATGGTGCTCCTGGCTGGCCAAAGGGAACTGCAGTACCAGGGACAGCTCAGTTCTGGCAGGGACCGGGGGTATGGGAAACAAGACCTCCTGGCTGGCTGCTGGGCTTGACACATAAGAGCCCTGAGGTAAGGGAGAAACACTGATGAAGGCTCTGGCTGTGGGGAAGTGGCCCAGGGAACTAAAAGCAGTTTCTTAAAAGGACAGGGTGGCACATAGCTGCTATTCTTAGGGTGCTTGGGCTGGGACCCCATAGGCCACTGGGGAAGTGTCCTCAGGGCCGGTGCAACCACTAGGTGAACTAGGCGCTTGCCTAGGGTGCCAAGTGGTTGGGGGTGTCCAAGATTTTTCCTCCCTCCTCTCCCTTCCCCTCACACAGAGTGTGGCATGGCTCATTGGGCACCTGGCCTGATTTAGCCGCTCCCATTGGCCTCCAGCAGGCAGAGTCCCTCCCCTTGCCTCAGCCTCACTTCGCCAGCACGCTGCGGGGGAGGGGCTGTGGGCTCCGCAACCTGTTTGTTTTGGCTCCACGTGGAGCCAGCGGCTGGAGTGGCATGGTGGTAAGGAGCCCCGGGGGGTGGGTGGGGGGAGGGTTGGATGGGTTGGGAGTTCTGGGGGGGTCTCTCAGGGGGCAGGGAGTGGTTGGATGGGGTGTGGAAGTCCTGGAGGTCTGTCTGGGGGTGGGGGTGTGGATAAGGGTTGGGGCAGCCAGGGGACAGGTAGGGGGTAGGGTCCTAGGGGGGCAGGTAGGGGCAGGGGTCCCAGGAGGGGGCAGCAAGGGGACAAGGAGCGGGAGGGGGGGGTTGGATGTTCTGAGGGGGGTGGGAAGTGGGAGGGAGTGGATGTGGGTGGGGCTCTCCCCCCGTTCTATTTTTTGATTGTTGAAATATGGTAACCCTAAAAAAGCGGTGTCCTGGCTCAGCAGGGAGGAGCCGCTTTCCAGAGGCACCTGAGAGCCAGAGCGTGGGCTTGCGGGGGTGGCGAGCCCCAGCCAGGGAGGAGCCGGTGCGGCACGGGGGGCAGCAGCCCTAAAAAGGCGGCGGCACCGCTAGTGGGAAGCAGCCGTGCCTCCTGCCCAGGCTGTGGGCCGGTGCGTGCCCCCCCCCCGCTCCCGGGGGCTCCTGCAGGCTGCAGCAGTTGCATGGGGTCAGTGGCCCCCATGCACCTGCCCGGTTCTCCCCTCACTGTGCTTGGGCTCTACGGCTCCCAGGCATGTGAGCTACCGGTGTGCGGGGCCCTGAGCCTACTCTGGGAGGGGTAGCGGCAGTGGAGGCTCACACTCCCGGGAGCTGCAGAGCCTGAGCATGGCAGGGGGGAGCCGGGAGGCACCCGGGGGCTGCCACCCACATGCATCCACTGCAGGAGCCCCGTGGGGGGGGGGTGCCAGGTGCGTTGCAGCCTGGCCAGGCGCACCCCCCAGCTTACCCCTCACCGCGCTTGGGTTCTGTGGCTCCTGGGCGTGTGAGCCGCCGCTGGCCCTCCCGGAGCAGGCTCAGGGCCCTGCGCCCCGGCGGCGACTCACATGCCCAGGAGCCACAGAGCCTGAGCACGGCGAGGGGGCAGCCGGGGGCGCATGTGGGGCCTGCATCCGCTGCAGCCTATAGGAGCCCCTGGGGGGGTGCCTGGCCGCAGCCTGAGCAGGAGGGGCGGGGAGCGCAGCTGCTCCCTGCTAGCTGTGCCACCACTTTTGCAGGGCTGCTGCCCCCCTGCGCCGCGCTGGCTCCTCCATGCCTGGGGCTCGCCGCCCCCGCAAACCGATGCTCTGGCTCTCCGGTGCCTCCAGAATGCGGCTCCTCCCTGCCAAACTGCTGCAGCGGCCCAAGCCCAGCAAAGCCAGTGAGTGGACTCGGGGTGCGGACCACTGGGGTGGGGTGGGGGGGCTGTGCACCCTCCAGGGAAGTTCAGGGGGGCAGGGATGGGGGAACCTGGTCTGGGGAGCAGCCCCTGGGCACGGCTGGCCCCTGGGGTCTATAAAGGCTCGTTGGGATTTGCCCCTCAATGAACCGATGTGCAGGGGGGCGCAAGGTGGAAGTTTCGCCTAGGGCGCAAAATATCCTTGTACCGGCCTTGAGTGTCCTATAATTGGACAGCAATAAACCTCTAGAATGGGATCTGAACTAATCAGTAGACCAGCTGAAGAGCTGGGGCCAGAAGGGCCCAGAGAGGGCAAAACCATTGCCTCCAGCAAGGAAGCCGTGGGGGTAAGGCCTGATACCAGGGCTGGGACTGTTTAAAGATTGCAGACACACCCAACCAGAAGGAGCCTGTGTAACAGCAAGTGCCCCCAGGCCGGTGTGTCTCTGGGCCAAGTACACTGATGGTTCAAGTAACACATGGGGCATGATTCTCATTTGCACCGAGGCCCCTTACTGCTCTGGCTATGTAACGGGGCCTTTCAGTGGGTGTATGTTACCTTTACATGCACTGTAAGGCCCAGTAAAGGGGCTTCAGTGTAAATGAGAATCTGGCCCACTGGATGTTAGTGGGGGGAGTAGAGAAGGTGTGTTGCTCGTACATTCAGTGGGTGAGCAAGGGGCAAGAGCCAGGGAAAAGCAGCTACCAGTGGGCTGTGATCCAGCAACCATGCCACCCACCTTCCCTGGTTTGGAGAACTCCCCACAATTTCAGCTTCCCAGACTCTGGCATGGGCAGGATGCTGCTGCCCCTTCACACACATGAATGTGGACCTGGGACTACATTTGTGCTTTCTGCATGCAGTGGCCCTGGCTCCCCACTCACTGCAGGACCCTCTGCAAAACTGCCTCTAGTTTCTCACTCCTCGTCCTCTGCTGTGGGCCTTTGGTTAGGACATTCTAACCGTGCAGAAGCTGCCCTTGTTTGCAGTATAGTGTCAAAGGGGTCTTGTTTCACAGAGAGTGCCAACTGGCTGGCAAAGAATGCTAGGCCCAAACCAAAGCACTGTTGCTAAAAATGCTATGGCGGATTGAAAGCTGAACCCAGATCACAACTTCACATGTGGCTCCTACCGCTCTAGTGGGTGGAATCAAGCACTTGGACTTGAACCCTGGGGACATTTCATTCTGGGTCCAAACTTTGCAGCTTGCCTTCATCTAGGGTGACCACCCATCCCTAATCGAGCAGGACAGTCCCAAAATGTACATTTCAAGTCCCAGCCCCGGGCTGCATGACTCCAGGACCGCCTTTGTCCCCGATTCCCTATGGCGCTGCTCTGCATCTGCCCAAGGCTCAGGGGTGGTGCCAGCCTCTTCCCGGTGGTGGACTGAGGAGGGCCTTAGCCTCCATCGCATGAGGCCCCACCCCCTGCTCCTTCTCTTCCCTCCCAAGGCCCTGCCCCTGGCCAGGCCAGAAGTCACAGCCAAGCAATAGTAAGAGCCACCCAGGGAGCCTGGACCACTCTGGGGAGCTGTGGATCCTCCACCTGCCCTGGGCAGCAAGCCCCGGGGGGCAGGGACTTCACTCAGGCACTCCAGGCCCCTGCCCAGGGCAGGTGGAGGGTCCAGGACTCCCCACAGCAGCCAGGGCTCCTCTTACTACTGCCCAGCTCTGGCTCCTGGCCTGGCTGGGGGTGGAGCATCAGGGGGAGGAGGAAGAGCAGGGTGGGGCCATGGAGGGAGGCAGCATGTGTCCCATTTTTGCATTTTGAAAAGGTGGTCACCCTTCCCTCATGTCGACAATGAACCGAACCAAAGGCCAGGATCCAAATATGCCCGAACTGCAGCACTTGGAATCCAGATCTAGAGCCATAATTTGCACCTGGGACTCCCCTTCATTTCCTCAACAAAACCCAAGCAGCTGGCCCCTTGGGGAGTGAGGCTCGTAGCTGCTCTGATGGGCTGGAGCATAGGTGGTAATATTACAAGTGAATTCAGCCAGGGGGGGTCTTGCCCACATGCTCAGGGTCTAACCAATCACCATATTTGGCACTAGGAAGGAATTTCCCCCGGGTCTGATTGGTAGAGACCCTACAGGGTTTTCACCTCCCTCTGCAGCACCGGTCACTTGCGGGTTTGCACTAGAGTAAATGGTGGATTCTCTGTAACTTGAAATCTTTAAATCAAAACTTCACTAACTCAGCCAGAGGTTAGGGGCCTACTACAGGAGTGGGTGGGCAAGGTTCTGTGGTCTGTGATATGCAGGAGGTCAGACAAGATGATCATGATAGTCCCTTCTGGCCTGACAGTCTATGAGAGCAAGAGCTAAGGTCATTCTGCTTCTCACAGCTACCTTGAGCCCTGCTCTGCAAGGCAGTGCAGGCAGGGGCCCCGTGACTCTCAGCACTCTCACACACGCTTGGTAATTCAGAGTGATAGAGGTGTTAAGGAGATCATCAAGCATTCAGCGGTGTGCTGCTTGCACAACATGCTTCGGCAGAAATATTTGAGCTGAGCAACAAATGCACCGCGGATATCAACATTGGCAGTGGGGCAGTCAGGGCTGGAAAGGGATTACAGATGCTGCCTTCCCACATGAACCAGGTTATGTATCAGTCCAGGATCCTATTAGGATTTGGCACTGAGGATGTTACATCACCTTGAGCCAGCTAGATGGAGAATGAATTGCAGATCCTCCTGAGCTATTGTGTGGGCTCAAAGGGAAGTTCCTGCAAAGCGGTGCCCATGCCTATTGCGAGCACATGGAAGGGCCGTGATCATGGAGCGCAACAGACTGAACTGAGAGGAGTTTGGTGCAGACCTACCTGGGATGTGCTGTCGACTTGCAGAAGAACAGCCAAGCCGATGCCAATGAGGAGCCTGGAAGGATTCCCGGAAGGAGAAGGTTAATTTTGGCAAAACAAATCCAGTGGTGCTGCACCTGCCGCATGGCTGTGTCTGTCTGCTCCATTGGCTTCCATTAAACAGGTTCAGAAGTTCTAGGGCTATTGCTATTTCTAGAGGAGTTCCCCAGGATGGCTGACACCAGTAATACGACTCTCCACGTGTGTCTGGGGAGACTGCCTGTCACTGAGAGAGGTTTGCTATATGGGCAACTCCACAGTGAAGGTTGTGTTGAGTTTCCATTTTAAACCGGGGCTGACCCTCTTTGTGTGTATAATCTGGGAGGGAAGATGGACTCTAAATAACTTTGACGTAACTCTAGTAAGTGGTGAGTTGCTATTCCTCTGAAATGGGCCCTTTGGGAAAACTGT